GAATAAAACTCAGAGAATCAATCTAGAATCTTACAATAATCCAATAAAGGATTGTGATACGATAAAAAAGTAAATATACAGACATCTGAAAGAATGGTAGAGTTTTCTACTTGGTGGAGAAAATCCTTGTTGTAAGAGGAAGACACAATGCCTTTATAGAGGAATAAGAAACATCTTCGTCCTCGAGAAATATAAAATGGTTTGCGTCTCAATTAAAGCATTGATAGAATTTTCTAAACCAAGATTAATTTTATTTAGACGTGTTACCTTCAAGAACACGCAACAATCATGAATGGCAAAACATGTAATCACAAGCACTTACTACATAATTACACCAGTAAGAAAACATACAAAACATAAACTTTTAGGCAAGATAAAGTTTAAACTTGTTGAAGAACCAAATCTTTACGCATAACACAAAAAAAAGAACTTGAAAACAAACAGTTGAAAATATAAAAATCAAGCTTATTGACGAACCAAATCTTTACGCATAGCATAAACCAAAGAAACCTGAAAACACCTGCAAACACAAAACAAAAGAAAATTATAATCGATCAAGCATGAAATATCTTGATCAAAGGTGTAAGAACCAGAGATACTATAAAATAAACAACCACTAACGACGAACAATCTTCATCCTAAAAAAAAAGAGGCGATTCTAAATTTTATAAGAAGAGGAATAAGGTCGATTATATATAGTTTCTTACAGACCTAGGGTTACGCCAATTAAAAATATAGAGATATATAGGACCCAAACCCAATCAAATTTTCATCAATCGAAACATGGATATTTTAGTAAAAACGAAATCGATGGCAAAGGTACGTAATTATGTCGATTTTATTAAGGATATCTATGTAATCAACCACTTTCAAATCGATGAGACATAGGACTTTTTACTTCATGTATAATATATTAGATCTTCCATGTAAATATTATTATTTAATTTAATAGTATAAGATAGTTACCAATTGATTTTTGACCAATAACTAATTACTGAAGCAGAATATCAGTAAATAAATTCATAAATAAACAGTAATACAGTAAATAAAGAAGAGTATTAAAAAACTCTAAGTAGTACATTTTTAAAATAAGAATATAATTAAAAAATATCCAAACGATAAAAAACGTAGTAATCACGCCACACGATCTGTAGAGAACTTGTAAATAATTTCGTATGATCTCAATCTCTTGTGTAATCCTAAGCGAGAAAATCTGTGCATAGAAGAAGGATCAAGTA